TTTGCTTCCACGGCTGCATGGCCTCCGATCAGCAATGGACCAACACTGGTCGACAACATAGCAGGGAATCCAGCAGGAACTCAGGCCACCGGCAATACAGTAGCTCCGGCAGCTGCCTCCTCCACACCAGCAACAGGATCAACCGCCACTGGGGTAACCTTTGATCCTCAGTCTCATTCAAACCCTTACTTTCTACACATTAATGAAAATCCTGCCCTAGAGCTTGTCACCTTCCCAGTGGATGGTTCAAACTACCATCCATGGGCTAGAGCCATGACTATGGCCTTGTCCTGCAAAAAACAAGATAGCTTTCATCAATGGAGCTATCACGAAACCCTCCACAGATGATATAGAGAGATACATGGCTTGGGAGAGATGCAATAACATAGTAGTGTCCTGGATTGTGCGTACACTATCTCCTACAATTGGATGTAGTGTCTTATGGATTGATGCTGGCTCTGGGATTTGGGATGACCTAAACAGGAGATTTAGTAAGCAGGACTTGTTTAGAATGGCAGAAATCAAATGTCAAATCTATCGAACAAAGCAAGAAGACAATTCCTTGAATGAGTATTTCACTAAGCAGAAATTCCTATAGCTGAATGAATTGACTATTCTCAGACCCTTGATGAGCTGTGCTTGCAGCATTAGATATGAATGTGGCAAAAAAATCGATAAGATGAACGAGCAGTTGAGCATCTAATCTCCAAAGAATATCAATAATAAATCTAATCTAAACTTTTCAGTGTCGTGCTATCTCTCACTTACATTTATAAACCAAATTTATTGGTACTAGTCCCTATATAGCCACAATCCTTTTACAACAAACTTTGAATAAATGAAGAATATAAAGCAGTCTTTTTTTTTTTTCTTAAGGTTTGATTAATCATTAGTGTCTTCAAATGGTTCCCTACCTCGAAGCAAATAAAATAAAATAAAATAAAAAAGAGAAAAAAGAAAATCAAAACCAAAAGCTGTCTTATATTATCCTTAATCATCACATTTCTTTTTTTCAAACCAGTTGCGTTACGTTGTAGACCAATGATTCGAATCATGCCGAGGAAGCATAAAGAATCTGACAAATTTAAAAGATATGTTAAATATTTTACAGGATGCTCTCCATGTTATATAATAAACAAATACAATAGTATATGCATATGATTTAAATATTATAGGTATAGTCGAGGGTAACTCCATCTGAATTGGTTAAATTATTAGTTTGGTAATTATAAGATTTTAAGTTTAAACGCATATTGATCTTTTTGATTTGAGCCAATAAGTTATGGATAACTTAGTCCTTGTCCAGTTTATTTCATTTTGATTCTTTATCAACAGAATCACAAGACGAGGTTCACCTAAAGTGCACATTCTGATATGTAGCGATTGCATACTTTTTCACAAATCAATACAGAGATAATACCTAAAATGATTCCTTGACTATTTCATAATTTATAATTTGGTTCTTAACTATCAATTCACCTAACTCGGGTATGACGGATTATTTTTGGTGATTGTTAGTTGTGAACCAATTTAAGAATTATGACAGTCAATGAAGTAATTTGAGTATTATCTTATCAAAATATTATACTCCGTATATACTTCGCTAATTTTTTTTTTTTTTTTTTTTTTTTTTGAGAATAATGGTCAAATAGGTCATCCAACTGCACACTAACATGCAATTAAGCCACCCAACTCAAAAAAGCTACAATTAGATCCCTGAACTACACAAATTCATACAATTTCACCAAAAATGACTTGTTTACCTATTGATATGCTGATGTGTCGGTTACCAAATTAAAAATAATTTTTAAACTTTTATTTTAATACTTTTAAATAATAAATTATTTTAATTTAAAAAAAAAAAAAAAAAAAACAGCCGGAGATGAAGGGGTCTCCGGCCAGCCATGGAGAACTCTTCGTCTCCATGGCTGGCCGGAGACCCCTTCGTCTCCGGCTGTCTTTCTCTCTTTTTTTTTTTAAAAAAAAAAATAAAATAATTTATTATTTAAAATTATTAAAATAAAAGTTTAAAAATTATTTTTTAATTTGGTAACCGACACAACAGGTAAACAAGTAATTTTTGGTGAAATTGCATGAATTTGTGTAGTTTAAGGACCTAATTGTAGCTTTTTTTGAGTTGGGTGACCTAATTGCATTTTGATGTGTAGTTGGATGACCTATTTGACCCTTATTCGCAAATTATGCTGTGGACTCGTGTCCATTGTGGACACGAGTTCAAAATGACGTCGTTTTTAGGGAAAACGCGGCATTCCAGTTAAAAAAAAAAATTTGATTTTGTCTCTCCGTTAACGGCGTTAACGGTGTTATTCGTTTGTGGAGTTATGAATGTACAGTTATGAAATTATGAATGTAAGTTATGGAATTATGAACACAGAGCTCTGACATTATGAACTTACAATTATGAACATATAGTGATAAAATTATGAACATAGAGCTCTAAAATTGTGAACATAGAGCTTCGAAAATTATGAATGTATAGTTATGGAATTATGAATGTACAGTTAGGGAATTATGAATGTACAGTTATAGAATTATGAATGTATAGTTATGGAATTATGAACACAGAGCTCTGACATTATGAACTTACAATATGAACATATAGTGATAAAATTATGAACATAAAGCTCTAAAATTGTGAACATAGAGCTTCGAAAAGTATGAATTTACAGTTATTGAATTATGAATGTACAGTTACGGAATTATGAATGTACAGTTATTGAAATATGAATGTACATTTATGGAATTATGAACACAGAGCTCTGACATTACGAACATACAATTATGAACATATAGTGATAAAATTATGAGCATATACTCCTATAACGAAGTGGTCTGAAATTTTATATATATTGATGGATTTAATTAACCCGGGGTGTGCCCGAATCACTAAATCCGAGTTGACCGCGCCCGATCTCGCGACCGGGCCGCGCTGCGGGGGCCAGGTTGAGCCCATCATGGGCTCGGACCAGGCCCATGTGGAGGTCGGCCCAGCCTCCTGGAGAGGCCGGTCCCGCCTCCAACGTGGCCCGTGCGGGGGGCACGTGGCGAGGCCTCGGCCGGGGCGGGTACGTGGCGCCGCCCCGGGACCCGTTCTTGCTTCGCGCCCTCGGGTCGATTCCCAATATATCCGTCATCAGTCCCCCACTCTCCGAGCTGCGAGTAAATGTCAGTGAAAGAGAGTAGATGCTCCGGCCGACCCCGAGATGCCCGCGTCCCAGCCTTATAGGTGCCGTCAAAGGTGCACTTCTTATGATAATGATGAAAAAACTCCATCCGAAACATGACTCCTTCATCTGCTAGGACACATACGTAGTAGAGTCCTCTTAGGTTTTGATCATCATCTCCAGGTCAAACCATCACATCCATCTTTTCACCTTTTCCCCCCTCTTTTTTGAGTTTTGAATTTCAAAACTCCCCCTCTTCCTATCTCCCCCTCATCTATATAAACCCCCTCTCCTCTTTCATTCTACACTTTCCACCACTCCAACATCACACCCCTCCCCCAAACTCCGGCGAGCCCCCACCGAATTCCGGCAGCACTCCGGCGAGTCCCAGGCAGCAACTCCGGCGAACCCCTCCCGCGGCAGCCCCGGCGCGACCCGAACTCCGACCGACCCCCAGCTGCTCCCGTCGCCGAGTCGTAGGCCCGAGCGTGGTACGCCCCTCCTTCCCTTTTTTTTTTTTTTTTTTTTCATGGCTCGCCCACGTCGTCCGTCACGGCGCCGGTGCGGCGGTGTCGCCGTGACGCTGCCACGGGGGTGGCCTACAGGCCGCGCCTCCGTGGATGCCCGGTCGACCTCCTGGGCTCAGGCTGCGCCGAGGTCGACCCCGGCAGCGGCGGTCCTCCTTTGCCGGGGTCGCGCTGTCCTCCGGCGCCGAGGCCGCGCCGACCTCCGGCGTCGGAGTCACGCCGACCCCGGCCTTTACCGATCCACTGTGATGGGTTCGCGCCGACCTCGCACGCCGAGGCCGTGCCGACCCTGGGGTCGGCCGACCTCGCGTGCTGACCTGCCACGCCGAGGTTGGGCCGACCTCGACCTCGGCCCTGGGCCAAGGTCCTCCAAAACCGCCCCTGACTTTTTTTTTTTTTTTTTAATGTTTCGAAGATGCCCCGTTCTTATACCCCTTCTCTTTTATCTCGTAGGTTTAGTTGGTGCATGTACACTTCCTTTGGTTCCTTGGACGATTTTTTAGACTCGTTAGGCACCCACATTCTTCCCATAGATGACACTAGCGACCCCCCTACTCCTTTTCCCGCTCATTCCCGGGGCTCTGAGGAGGTCACCATGCCCTATGACGGTCCGTTGGACGCCCATCCTCCCATCCTAGAGGACCCCCTTCGCGGTCCCGTACGAGGACCCTGTCCAGTATACCCCTCTAGAGACACTCGTCGCGGCCTCGACCTTGGTTTGGACCTCCGCGCAGGAGTTTGAGGAGGCCAAGGGCTATGTTGGGTCTACGGCCGAGGTGCGCATGCCTTCCCCATCGGGGAACGTCACCGCGCCCCCGACACCCCTCTTCTTGGGGTCCACGTGTAGTCTCTGTACGTCGATTTTCGCTTCCCTATCCATCCCTTCGTCATATCCTTCCTTAAGCATTACGGCATCGCACCCGGGCAATTGGTTCCGAACGCCCATTACTTGCTTCTATTTGCCTTCTTGCTCCGCTGCCACACCATCCGTGTCCAGCCCTACATGGACCTCTTCCAGAGTTTGTTTCAAGTCACCTCGTCCTCCGGCTAGGCTAGTAAGGGATTCGTGGGTATAGCGGCCCGGGCGCGCATTAAAGTGTTTCATGACTTCAATCAGACCAACAGAGATTGGAAACCGCATTTTGTCTTTATCTCGGTCGGCGACCCTCGCCCGTTCCTAGCTTGGAACTACAGGTTTGTGCGTCACAGGGCCCCGCTTCAGACGACCTCCTTAGCCCGGGACATCCATGCCTTCCGTGGCGACCGGGGAGAGATTGTTATCGGCGAGATGATTACGGCAGAGAACATGCGTAGCCTGGGTTTTGTGTCGGATGGGCCGCTGCCGCCACGTATCCGTCCGCGCCTTTTGCGTACGTCCAAGTCGGATGCGCGTCCCTTGATCGACCTGTCAGATGATGAGCCGCCGGAGCACTCCTCGGGATCCTCGGACGAGGTTTTTGCCGAGCCCAGGTCCTCCGGGTCCACTATCGGCCCTTCACGTGCCTCTACTCGTGGTCTGTTCCCCCTCCTTCACTAGACCATCGCTTATATATATGACTTATGGATTAACCCTTGTTTGTTTCATTTCGCAGTGAGGCCCTCCAGTATGTCCACTTCGTTCCGTGAGCGCCTTGAGCGCGCTGTGGCGCGTGCCCCCGCTGCGAAGAGACAGAAAGTTGCTGCCCAGCCTAGCGCGTCCCCGCCGGGGGAGTTGCGGCCGCGGGCGAGTCGCCCCCCCGTACCGCCGCCCGTTCCTCTCCTACTGCCGCCTGCCGAGCACACGCGGAGCTTGCCTGCTATTGTTCGCGAGGCCCTCCGGACCCTTGAGGTATGTACTCCCCCTTGTGATTTTCCTCTGGTGCCCCTTTCACAGGGCTGGGCCATGTCCTCCGTGGCCCTTGTTGAGGATGAGCAGGGTCGCGCTCGCGAGCTGGTTCGAGCCTTGGAGGCCGAGACCAGGCGGGCCGACGAGGCGGTCAGACGTGATGCTGAGTCCTGGAAGGCCTTGGAGACGGAGAGGAGGAGGCACGCAGAGGAGCTTGGACAGGTCATCCCTTCCTACAGGAGGTCTGATGAGTTTGAGCGGGATGCTGAGGAGTACGTTCGCGGGCGTAGTGCCGATATAGTCGCCTCGTGGCTAGCTAGCGATGCTGGGAAGGAGACGATTGCGGACGAGAGTGCTGTAGCCTTCCAGGTGGGCCGGTATGCTATGCAGCAGGAGATCTACACCGCCCTTCGTCAGAAAGGAGATGCCTTCGACCCAGGAGTCCTAGTGTTGCCGACCGAGATGGAGAACCCCGAGCCAGTCAACCCTGCGTCGGGCTTCTCACTATCACCCCTTGATCGCGGTGATGAACCCGTGGAGCTGGTGGCCTCCTCGGGGGCTATTTCACCCACTCTGCTGAGCGTCCACGTCCCTGACTTGGATGAGGAGGCCGAGGGAGTGACCGTCGCCGTCGCGCCATCGGCCGAGCTGCCACTTGCTACCGCGCCGGGTTTGGATGAGCAGCCTTGATCATGCTCATTTTAGTTTATTTCCCTATTTTGTGTATCCGGGCATATATAAAGTGGAAGATAACGGTGCCACTAACAGCACCATTACCGTGTCCACAATACATGCTGGACACGGGCGATTGACCCTTATTCCTTTTTTTTTTTTTTTTTTTTTTTTTTTGTTAAAGAGAGAAAATGACAATTATAACCTTTTAATTGCAGGTAATTTGTCAAATTAATCCATCTATTATACACTTCACCATATTTGGTCTTTAAGTTATCAAGCTTGTGGCGGCCTCTCGGCCCGTAACAATGAAATTATTAACTTTTATGGTTAAATGTTTAAAATCTTAACTTTTTAAGGTTAATTTTTGTTAAATTGAAGCTTTCTTTTCTATAATAGAACCAATTTTGCAATTTAGAGAGTGTAGATAAGTAAATACTTATAGATGAATGATGTAAAAATTTCAAAAATAATCTTAAAAGTTAAGTTTTTGAACATTTAACCTTGAAAATTGACATTTTAATTAGGATTTTGACAATTCAAGTGAGGACCAAATTGGTGACACATATAATTAGGGAATTGAATTGACTATTTGGTTACAATTGGAGGACCAAAATTGCTAATTATCTCTAAAAAATACTTTTGATTTATAAAATTGTAGTGATTTGTAAATATAATTCTTTAGTTATATGATTACGGTGTTATAAATTTAATCTTTTAATTGTCTTATAAAGTAACTATTTTGACTCGCATTATCATGACAATTGTTAATTTTGTCTTAAACTTTTACAACACGTTTGGTTCACGAAATGAATTTTGAGGTAATAGGAATGCTATTCCATAAGGAATGGAATAGGCAAGGAATATAATAGGAATTGTATTCTATTGTTTGGTTCGCGGAAGGAATAGACTTTAGGAATTATATTACAGTGTTTGGTTGATTTAAGGAATAGAAATGAAATATGCTTTAAAAGACATAAATACCCTTATAAAAATATGTGATGGTGGCGATGGTGGCGGTGGTGGTGGTGGTGGTGGCGGTGGTGGTGATGGTGGTGGTGGCGGTGGTGGTGGTGCTGCTGGGGTGGTAGTGGTGGTGGTGGCGGTGGAAGTGGTGGGGGCGACGGCGGTGGTGGTGACGGTTGTGGCAGTGGTGGTGGGGGGCGGCGACGGTTGTGGCGGCGGTGGTGGTGGTGGTAGCGGTGGTGCTGCTGGGTGGTGGTTCTGGTGGCGGTGGTGGTGGCAGCGGCGGCGATGGTGGTGGTGGTGGTGGTGGCGGTGGCGGTGGTGGTAGTGGTGGTGCTGGGGTGGTAGTGGTGGTGGTGGCGGTGGCGGTGGCAGTGGTGGGGGCGCAGTGGTGGTGGTGACGGTGACGGTTGACGATGATGGTTGTGGCAGTGGTGGTGGTGGTGGCGGTGGTGCTGCTAGGTGGTGGTTCTGGTGGCGGTGGTGGTGATGGCGGCGGAGGCGGCGATGGTGGTGGTGGTGGTGGTGGCGGCGACGACGGTGGTGAAATAGGATAAATTTATATATAGGATAATAAAATTAGGTTAAAGAAAGGGGTAAAAAAGGAAATATATTCTAAAATCTATTCCTGAGCGTTCAGTAATAGGCTAATACCAGGGGGGCCCTAGTAATAGCTATTACCTTATTTGAGGTAATAGGCTATTACCAGGAATATTATTCCTGGTAATAGAAATGGTTACCAAACAACGGAATAGGCCTATTACTGGGAATGCTATGCCATTCCCGGCCTATTCCGTGAACCAAACGGGCCATTAATGTGTTATAGTTCTCGATGTTACCTTTACTTTCATACGAAATCAAAACACAATCGTTATGCTGTGGAATCGTGTTCACCTTGCAAGTTGGACAGAGTTTTATGTTTATAATTACTGAACTATATGTTCATAATTATAAAGTTATATATTTATAATTTTAGAACTTTATCTTCATAATTATTAAAGTTTATATTCACAATTACAGAATTCTATGTTCAGAATTACTGAACTATATATTCATAATTATAAAGCTATATATTCATAATTTTTGAACTTTATATTCACAATATAATTATTAAATCTCTATATTCATAATTACAGAACTATATGTTCATAATTATATTCACAACTCTATGTTCATAATTTTTAAACTATATATTCATAATTATGAACAGTTTTGGAACTGTGTCCACCTTGCAAAATGGACACAATTGCACAGCATAATTTGCCATCTTAACAGATGCAATATTTTAGACCGATCGAACTAATGACATAATCAAGAAATCAAGATAATCTTTCAAGGGATTATTAAAGATGACATCTTGCAACTACACGAGTCATCTTAATACCAATAAAAAGTGTACGAATCTCTAACACTTCTAATATATATATATATATATATATATATATATATATATATATATATATATATATATATATATATATATATATATAGATTTTGAATCCGCTGCACAATCCCAAGTCAGCCGAGCCCGTGAGCACACTCCTTGATCGTTGATTTAATTTTTTGACGATTCAGATTGATTACCACTTGGATCCCATTTTATATTGATTTTAGATGAAGAAGGATTTTTTTGTCCTTACACTATATTTATTACTTTCCATTTCATTTATTTCCATGTTTATAAATATTTGTAGCCTTATTTAAGCTCTCCTTAATCAATATTTCTCTCTCTTATCCATGGAAATTTATTGGTATGTTAAATACTCATAATTTTCATTCTTCCAAAAGGTTGAACCCTAACCCTAAGGGCTCCCCCACCCCGGCCTGACAGAACATTTGGGAGGATGTAAATCATGGTGACTCAACTGAACATGAACCACATAGGCTAGACCGGTGCTCACTGCGCACAAGGAGCCCCCCCTCACTTTGAGAGGTTGCTCCCACACTGCCGCTGGTGAGACTCGATCCGTCATTCTTCCAAAGTTTCACATCTATGACCAGTTGAGCTACCCATGCGGGCATACACATAATTTTCATTGATTTACATACAAATGTTTTCATATAACTAAATTTAATTTTCCTACAAGCAATATGGAACTATGCAAGTTCATTACGCACGGAAAAAAAAAATCATGTATTATCTACGTATAATAAAACAGATAATTTAGTACACCATGGTGTGCTGATTTTTTCATAAAATTATGCGTTTTGGTATGTGCGTTTCATGATACAGGCATGTACATGAATTGGTTTGTGTGTTACTAATTTCGGGCGTGTGCGAAACGTATCTAAAAGAAAACAAAAATATACGAATCTAATTTGGGTATCGGCATTTGAATTTTGAGTAGATAATCAGTGCGTAGTAAATATAGTATTTGGCTTGTTGTGTTTTTTTTGACACGGTTGCACAACATAATTTGCCATCTTAACAGATGCAATATTTTAGACCGATCGAACTAATGACATAATCAAGAAATCAAAATAATCTTGAAGGGATTATTAAAGATGACATCTTGCAACTACATGAGTCATCTTAATACCAATAAAAAGTGTACGAATCTCTAACACTTCTAATATATATATATATATATATATATATATATATATCCTTAACTACTGGAGAAGCTAATAGGTGTGCAGATTGAATGATCTCACTGCTTGAGATCTAGCATTTAAATATAATGTCTTTGAATCTTCATTGGATGGAGTTATATTCATACTTTTTGTTGATATTGTAGAAGTGATTTTTTTTTTTAAACGATTTATATGATTTCATATGAGATGTATTAAAAAAAAAAAAAAAGTTTGTTGAGCATCAATATCTGTCAAAGCATCAAGTTGTTAGACATTTGAAATTAAATATATGAAAGCAATTGATTGATTTGAATTAAGGAATTGTAATATCCAACAAAAGGTATGTAGGAGAATCTTAAACAACACCTAAGCTGGAAGGGCAATAATGTATGTGAAAAAGGCAGCTGCCAATTCAACAATTTGCATATCTGTCCTACCCTAAACACTTGAATTGAAGGAGTCTTCTTCCCTAAGCATCCCATTCGAAAGGGAAAACAAAATCCTCCTATACTTTATTTTAGATCTCTTTTGTCTACTTATACATAAATACTTACAAAATTTACAAGGATCGAGAAAAAACCCCAATTGAATTTATTTATTGTAGGAAATTTCTATGTTGCTGATAATATTCGGTATCAGCCTATCAGGGCTGTGTAATAGAAAAACTTAAATAACTATTTCTTTTAAGTGATGGAGAAATGTACAGCCACTACACAGGTGTATATTGAGTAAATCTTACCTTGTGATCCTAGGTGACAAAAGACTACGGAGGTAAACCGACTTAGATTGTCTATAGCTGATCGATTGAAACTAAAAAGACCAATAGACGACTAACCAACTTTTTTTTTTGTTTGTTTAGCTTCATGATTGATAACTGGCCATTTTATGAGAAAGCTCGCCGTAGCTGCCTGATCGATGATGCACCCTAACCAGTAAAAAGTTATATAAACCAAACTAAATTAATTATGACGAACTGACTCAAATCAAGAAGACTAATAAACAGCCACTTATGCTCATATATTAACTTTGTTTGGATTTATGTTACCTGTACTTGAACAAATAAATCTGTACCTACTAGTCTACTACTACCCCCAAGACCCACAATTCTACTACAATAATAATTCAACAAACCATCTGATCTCCAGGTGTTCAAAACTAGTAAAATTTGCAGGTTCTTCAAGGTGTCATAATCATGAATGCTTGCCTGCAGCAGCATACATATATTTAATACTCATAGTTATGATCAACAACCACCTTCAGATCATAACAACATTAGTGGTTGCATGAAGCTGCCTACTTACCTACTCAAGAAAATAGCTGTCTTACCAGAAAACCTTATAATCAATTCTGTTGGATATATAGATCATGTATGCATTTTGTTACAGCCCAGAATCTCATTATTAACACTAATTACCAATTGGCCAGTCCCTACCATAAGTGCGCTGACTGTTGGGACGGAGGATTAGTCTTTCGGCTATCGGCCGGAAGACAACCAATTGTTATACCATGGAACAGGATTCATATTGAATTGTGAACCCTGATACAAAAATTTTGCACATTCAGTTAACATATTCTGTACCTACAGTTAACAATTTCTGTACATGAAAATAAATAACTTGATAATTGCTGACACATAATATGATAGCTACATGTATAGAATGTGTCAACTATAGATACAAAATCTGACTTGATAATTGCTGACACATAATATGATAGCTACAAGTACAGAAACTATCAATTAAGGTACAGAATGTGTGAACTATAGATACAGAATCTAAAGATATTTTTAAACTAGAGTCTACAATACAAGGTAGACCTTGATTCATGGTATAATATGCTCACTAATTACTGTATCACATCTTTAATTTAAAAATTTGTTCAAGAAAAGGTGGAATCTGAATCTTTCTTCCCATAGGGCATTCCAGTCATTTCACATGAAAGGAGGAAAATTATAGGGAGTATTTTAAAGATGGTGGATGGCATTACTTTAAAGAAAGTCTAGGTTGATATTAGTGTTGTTATTAACTGGATCACAGGTCACATACAGACATCATCAATATTTGTAAAAGCATAAAAGGCAAGGAAAGGGGAAGTGTAGGAGAAGAAAGGGGAGGTTATAACAATGGCGTCGGCGACTCCGAAACAGATGATAGAGCCGCAGTCTTCGCCACAGTTGTTGTGCGTTAAGAGCTCCGCCGGGATCCTCAGCTTCGCCGCCGGGATGGCAAGTCCGATGGCCGACGACAGGGAGGAGGACATCACCAAATCCGCCCTCTCCGCCTTCCGCGCAAAGGAGGAAGAGATCGAGCGGCGCCGCCGAGAAGTTACGGAGAGAGTTCAGGCCCAACTTGGCCGCGTTGAAGAAGAAACTAAACGCTTAGCTGAAATCCGAGAGGTAAAAACTTAACACCATTTGCAAAAAAAATTTCATATCCCAACCGCAACCGACCTATTGAATTTCTTGATTTAAGCCGATCAACTATAAACAACCTATAATCATTTATCCTTGACGGCTAGGGTCACAAGGGGATTATTCCGTGCACAACTTCAATAGTGATTGTGGATTTCCTTTGTCATCTAAAAAAAATATCGACCCTAAATCTCAAGTTGGCTGAACAGTTAATTTGGTATTCGTAATGTTTTAAGTTGGACTTACTTGTGTAGTTACTTTGTCTAATCAATCATTATTGTATGGACCATGGTCCACACAACTTGTGTGGATCATATTTTGTCTACTGTAAAATAATGTACATTCAGTACAAAAATAATGTATATTGTATTTAGGAGATGTACATTATTTTTGTTCTGAGTGTACATTATATTGTATAATGTACATTCAATACAAAAATAATGTATATTTAGTATATTAAAAATGTACTTTTTGTTATGTTCCACATAACATTGTGTGGACCATGGTCCACACAATAATTTACCTTGTCTATTAACCTTTTTGATTTAAATATGTCAATTATAAGAAAACTAGGCAGATTTACCTCTTATCCTTTGTTGATTCGGGTTGCAAGGTCAGACTAGCTAGGGTCACAAGTAGGGCTTTACTCAGTAGCAAGCTTAAGCATGGGATGCTTAAAAATATGTTATGTACATGCAACATGTGCAGCTAGCAACATAATTTTAGTACAATTAAGGTTATGTTACTATGAACATGCATATATCATGATCTATCTAACAAACTTTTTGGTTCAATCATGGTCTAGGAACTTGAAGGATTTGTTGATCCGGTGGGGAAAGAAGTTGCGGTGGTGCGCAAGAGGATTGATCTGGTCAGTCGCGAATTGAAGCCGTTGGGACAGACCTGCCAAAGAAAGGTACGTACGTGTTCGGTCTCAACTAAAAGTTTAAACCGATACTGAAACTATAATGACGGGATTATTGGTATATGCAGGAAAGGGAATACAGAGAAGTTCTGGAGACGTTTAACACGAAGACGAAGGAGAAGGCACAGCTAATCACCAAACTAATGGAGTTAGTGACAGAAAGCGAAAAGCTGAGGATGAAGAAACTGGAGGATCTGAGCAAGAACTTAGATTCTCTACTCTAATTATATATGTTACATATATATATATATATATATATATATATATATATATATATATATATATATATATATATATATATATATATATATATATATAGAACTCTGATGATCTTTGAGTTGGTAACAGTTTGGTGATTTGCTGTGGTTTGTATCGGATTGTTCTTTCATTTGTATCATTACTTTAATTGATCCAGGATGTTTCTCGTTTTAAGTTTGGGAAAACGGGGTTCATTATTTGTGTCATTAACTGCGTTGGTTACGTTGGGTTTGGATTTGTTTGATTAGGTCTGATGATGTAAATGGGGATTTGTCAGCAAAAAAAAAAAGTTTATTAAATTACTATATTTTATGTTGTGACAATAATGTTTCTGTTTAAGGTATCTGGGTGCAGTTTTTGTTCATTAATGGCCAAACCAATATCCTGCAAATAATGGTTTTCGTAATTTAATTTAATGCTTTATTGTATTATACTTGAAGAATTAAGGGCATTCTCAATAATTCAATTTTAATTTTCTTTTTATATGTGGGCTCATAAAAAATACTATCTAATTTGCAGAAGTTACTTTTTTCTTCTCTACTATTTGCTTTTTTCCGCACAAAAATTTACAAAAAATTACTATTATGATTGCTCTAATAGGATAGATATCTTAAGATCAATATTGTCATATCATATTATACTTTTTTTATTTGGTATAAGATATACTTTCTCCTTAATTATAAGTTGTGTATTCAAATTTCCAAATATTAAATGATTTGTAAAAGATATACTTTTCAATTGTCCTATGCTTCCAAGGATAGTGCTTAGAAGAAAAATAAAGAAGAGGGAGAAATGGAGAATAGAGGGCAGATCAGAGAATTGCAATTAGAGGGTAGACAAAGACAAGTCAAGCCCAACTCACTTGTATAAATAGGCTGCCCCAGAGGGTAGGGTGGGATGGGGCCGGGCCAGGACCGGGGTATTTTTTATTTTTGGGAAAATTGTAAAAAATGTCTCTCTATAATATGTCAATTATCAATGTCACCCCTGAATTATGAGTGGTGTAAATGTTGCCCCTCAATTATCAAAATGGTGTACATATAGCCCCTCCCGTAACGGACATGTGGTTCCCCGTTAGTGTACGACACTGTTAATTTGGAGTAAATATGTAATTTAGTTATTTTTTTCCTCCCTCGATTCAAAGTACAGCGATGGACAGCGGTGGGGAACCACGGGTCCATTACGGCAGGGGCTATATGTGCGTCATTTTGATAATTGAAGGGCAACATTTACACCACTCATAATTCAGGGGTGATATTGATAATTGACATATTATAGAGGGGCAGTTTTTACAATTTTCCCTTTATTTTTTATTTCCTGAAGCTTACACTGTATTTCTATGATAGTTTGGAGCTTGCACATGCATGGTAAATCAATGGCCTAAACCCCCCTTATTGAGTAATCTTGCTTCGCCCATTCTAATATGTGTAGTATTAGTATTGTATCCTGAGTTCATTACCAAACACTTTATGGTATCATAATATCTATGCAAATTCGGTGCCTAAAGCAACCCTCAAAATGACAATTATAGGGGCGCGTTCAAGAACGGTTATCCAGGAGAGAACTCAGAACTAATTACAGTCGTCCACGTCATGTCCAAATTTAACGAATCAGATGTAATTAAAAAAAAAACGATGTGGTAGTATTTTTGTAAATAACTCGAACTTTGATGCAAGTAACATGTGTTAAAAGTGCAAGTAACTAGTGCAAGTGAGCCAGTAAAAAGTGCAAGTAAAATCACTTAAAAGTACAACCATTTTCACTAAATAGTGCAAGTAATTTACCATTATAACATTGGTGCACCTAATGATAACGTCTTTCACATTAGTGCACTTAATGATAATGATTGGTGCAACAAATGAACACATTAGGTGAACTTAATATTGATGCTCAGTGAACATTATTTGTTGCACTTTTAATACATTTAACTTGCACTTAGAAGCACCATATGAAACTGTTGCTTGCACTTTTAACACAATTTACTTGCACATCAAAGTTCAATTATTTACAAATGGCATCGCATTAAAAAAAAAAAAAAACTGCGTTTCTGATATGTTAGATCTGGACACGTGAACGGCTGTGATTGGTTCTTAGTTCCCTCTTGGGCACTTGGTTCTCACCTGATCCGTCTCATATATATATATATATATATACATGAGAGAGACAGAATAATTATTGTACGTTGAAGTCACTAGGAGTTTTTTAGAACAACACGAATTATATTAAGTCATGAGAAAGAGCATTACAGATGAAAGAAGGAAGTGAGTGAGACCACTCCTTACGTTCAGGCATAGAAAGGAACTCCCTTGCTAAGAGGTGGGCCGTCTAATTCGCAGAATGTTTCACAAAAGAGATACAACCGTGAGGAAAAGTGCTCGTCGAATCTTTTACATCAGCTAAAAGAAGGTTAAAAGAAGAGACATCTGCTAGAGAAGTAATGTCCTGAACCGCCAACAGAGAGTCAGTTCCGACTTGCAGGAACTCGAGATTATATCTTTTAGACAAGCTGAGAGCCTCCTTGATCGCTAGTGCTTCTGCTTCTCTAGGAGAAAAAGCACCAATCCACAGGCAGTAGACTGCAGTAAGGCACCTGCCATGATTATCACGAAGAACCCATCCCAGGCCCCTCTTGCCGAAGTCGACATCTAGCGCGGCATCAACATTAAGTTTTGACCATCCCGGCTTTGGTTTTGTCCATTTTGTTGTATCCGGAGTCTGCCGTTGAACCAGTTTTTCAACCGTCTCTGTGCATTCTTCCCAGTCCTTCACAAAGCTCTTGACCTCTCGACTATGGCCCTGGCAGAGGTGGATAGATTCCTTCACACCCTGTCATTCCTCGCCCGCCAGATATTCCAGCAGATAACAACAAACAAGCGAATCTGTGAGGGCTGAATGAAACCGAATATCTGGGAAAACCATTATCAACAGTTTTGCAATTGGTCCTTGTCCTGCAACAGGCCAAACATGCTCCAGCATTGACACGCTATTCTGCAGTAGGCTAAGAGGTGGAAGGCAGATTCTTCAGCTTCAAGGCACAGGGGGCATTGAGAAGCGCAGTCAATTCTCCTGAGTGTTGAGAAAAGAGTTGACCGTTGCATTTTGGAGATAAGGGTAAGGTGAGGTGGTAACCATAGGATTAACAACATCTAGGATCCACTTATCGTGCCAGATTCGAACAGAGTGCCCATTGCCAATTCTCCAACAACTGTTTTGGTGAATGATATCTTTTGTCTGAAGAATACTAGACCACACAAATGACGGGTTACCACCTTTACTAGCATAAACAAAGTGGGAGTCTGGAAAGTACTTAGCTTTCATGATTCTTGTAGCAAGGAAGGAGGGGTGTTTGATCAACCTCCATGCTTGTTTTGTGAGCATTGCCATATTGAAATCTTTGAGCCTTCGAAACCCCTCCCATACCAGAATGAATAGATAAGGAGAAAGGGGGTCTCCTTGTTTAAGCCTCCGTTGTAGAATGATTGGACCAAGATCATCCCCCTCCCTTTGAAGCCATCAGGTCCCGTCGATTTATCCGGGTGCATCCCGATGATAGCCCTTTATCAAGAAAGGGAGCAGTAAGGAGTAACAAACAGCAGAGAAGAAAGAACATTGTTACATTAATTAGTTCTCATTACAGAAGAGGTGAAACTCTATATACTACTCTGCTTGGAAGAAGGGAGAAAACTGTTCTTATCTAACCACTATAACTAACTTTACTTAACAGAATATAAAGAATCAAAGAGTCAGCTAATGTTGACAGTTGGAGATGATGATTTGGCTGATGATTTCTTGCTATCTGTTGACACCCACCCCCCCCCCGCAAGCTGGAGTGTACAAAGATTGTAGTCCCAGCTTGGAGATGAGACTGCAAAATATGCCAACATAAAGGGGTTTTGTGAACACATCTGCTAGCTAGTTGGAGGTGGTGACATGCAATAATCTTAACACTTGTTTCTGCAACTTTTCTCTTACAAGATGACAGTCTATTTCAATATGCTTTGTTCTCTCATGGAAGACTGGATTCTCAGCTATTGCAATGGCTGATTTGCTATCACAATATAACATGGCTGGAGAATTAACAGTCACTTCTAGATCCTGTAGCAGATATACTAACCACTGTATTTCACAAGCTGTTGAGGCAAGTGCTCTATATTCAGCTTCAAATGAGCTTCTGGATATGGTATGTTGCTTCTTTGATTTCCAAGAAACCAAGGTATTATCAAGGAATATGCAGAAGCCAGTGACAGATCTTCTAGTATCTGGACATGCAGCCCAGTCAGAATCAGAGAATCCTTTGATTAACAGGGTTGATGAAGCTGAGAAGAATAAGCTTGGGCCAGGAGCTCCTTTGACATATCTGAGTACCCTGTGTGCTGCTTGTAGATGTTCATCAGTGGGACAATCTAGAAACTGAGATAGTTGTTGTGTAGCATAGGCTATATCAGGTCTTGTGATTGTGAGATATAATAGTTTCCCTACCAGCCTTCTGTATTGAGTAATGTCTTCTAAAGTGTTTCCAGTAGTTCTGCTAAGTCTGGATGAATGTACCATAGGGGTTTTGGCAGGTTTACATTGTAAGAAACCAGTTTCTTCAAGTAATTCCAAAGTATACTTTCTTTGAGTTACATGAATCCCTTTACTGCTTCTAGCTACCTCTAAGCCCCAAAAAAACTTTAAAGGACCTAAGTCCTTGATATGAAAAACATTGTCTAAATGCCTTTTGATATGTTGTACCTGACTTATATCTGAACTAGCAACTACTACATCATCAACAAATACAAGTAGTGCTATGAATTCATTACCTTTGCCTCTGGTGAATAATGAGGAGTCAGATATAGCCTGCATGAACCCCATGCTTAGCAATTCTTGAGTAAGCTTGACATTCCACTGTCTGCTAGCTTGCTTTAGTCCATAAAGGGACTTGATTAGTTTGCACACTTGGCCAGGTTTGGAGGGTGTAAATCCAGAAGGTAGTGTCATGTATACTTCTTCATTTAGATCCCCATGTAGGAAATCATTGTTCACTTCAAGTTGGCGAAGTGTCCACCCCTTGATTGCAGCCACAGCAAGTAGCACTCTGATTGTGGTTATTTTTGCCACAGGGCTGAATGTTTATAGATAATCCAAACCAGGTGTTTGTGTATATCCTTTGGCCACAAGTCTGGCTTTATGCCTTTCAATTGTTCCATCTACTTTCAGTTTGGTTTTGAAAACCCATTTGAAACCTATAGGTACCTTGGAGGGAGGAAGATCAGTGAGAAGCCAAGTGTTGTTAGCCTCCAATGCACTGATTCCTGATTCCATGGCCCTTTTCCAAT